GTGGCGCTTTAGAAAGAAAAATACAAATTAAGGTGAGACAGAAACTAAAAACAATGTTGAATGCACTGATTTCACATGGAGCCTAGAACACCTTGAAAAATGAAATACAAATACTGTTATTTAATACAGCATCCAATAAAAAAAAACATAAATTCCCCATTCCAAATCTAAAAATTAATTCTTCATTATTTAATTTTCAGTTATTTTGAGATATTGGTTAAATAAAAGTCAAAGTGAAGAGCTGCCAACATTAATCATATTTGTTAAAGGAAATTATTTGACATTGCTTAAGAACTCAATGTACAACAATGAGCAAACTCATAAAAAGAACTGTTTCCTGCCATATCTGAATCCCTAGACCACAAAGAGAAAGAGCCACTGAAACAGCAGAGCTGGAAGAATGAATCCTGTAAGCTCTGTGAAGCCAGGGACCTCACTAACAGTTTGTCCAGGGTCCTTAGCACACAGCCTAGGGCAAGCATTCTTGTTGAATGACAGGTGGATGGGTGAGTGCTCCCATCAAGAGTGGGTGGAAGCAGGAAGCCTGAGCCACACCAGTGCTTCTTCTAGGGTTGTTCTTTTTGCCCAGTATTAACAAAGCAGAAAAAAAGTGTAGCAATAATAGGATCAGGGATCTAAGGAAGTAGATAAGCAACTAACAACTTTCTGCCCTCTGGACAGCTCTGGTAGCACTGCCCCCTCTTTCCTCTTCCTGATCCTCCCTGCATCTAATCAGCACATCCCAGGACCACCACTGTCCGGGCGCTTCACCTCTGCTCAGCAACTCCCAGAGCTGGCTGAAGACGGAACCCTTAGACACAGCTAAGCACAGGCAAACAATGCATCTAGCCTCAACAGGCTTATAAAGCCCTCACAAGCATGAGCCTGTCCTCCATTTTTTTTACTTCTCTGCCCATTGCTTCTAATAATGCAGTGCTTGTACCCAGGACAAAGTGTTATTGTAGGACCAAATGCCTTCTGTAGGTTTCATCAGGTGGTAAGAAATGGTTTGGCACTCTCCAGTTTGTATGTCACCCACTAATACATTTCCTTGCCAGTATGTAAAAGTCCATTCTTCATAAGGGTCCTTACAATATACCATATATTCCTAAGACTGAGATCTGGATGGATGTAAATAGACTTTTATTGTGAAACTTTCATTACAAACCTAGACTCTTCCAAATACCAGTACTAAGCCAAATTCTCATCTTATGGATTCAGAATATCATCAGATCACAATTATTTAGCATTGTAATGCTTTCGTTCCGGGACCTACCAGAGTGCTAAAGAGCTATGTTCCTTCCATGGAACACTTAAGAACTTTTGCCATATTCTATTGAATTCTTTGGAAACTGTTCCACAGTTTCACAAAAAACATCCTTTCTAGACCTCATACTCAGAATGCAAGTCTACCATATTGGTTTTTTTAAAAATTCACAGGTTTTATATGGTGGGGTAAGTTTAGATAATGTATACATCTGAGTAAACAATACCCTAAAAATTAGGATATATAACACTGCTAATAATCTAGAAAGTGCTCTCATGTTCCTTTCCAGTTTATCTTCTACCCCAGGCAACCACTATTCTGATTTCTATCTCCATAGGTTAGCTTTGCCTGTTCTTGAATTTCACATAAATGGAATCATGCAGTATGTTCTCTTTTGTGACTGGCCTCTTTGCTCAACATAACGGTTTTGAGATTTATGCAAATCGTTGCAAGTATCAGTAGTAGTCCTCTCTTTAAATTATTGGATAGTATTCCACTAATACAGAAACTGGTTGGGCACATGATGGTCCTTTAATAAGACAAAATATAGCCATTTTTGTTCATTCAAATCTGCAATCCACATCTGGCTTTTGTTAATGATCATATCCAGAGCTAAATCTAATTTCAAGCCTCAGAGGGATGAAGAAGAAAGCACTGGAAGCAGGAATCACTGAAGGCCTAAACCTGACAAGAAAGCCCAAAGAATAAGAGACAGAATGAACTAGGGGAATTATCTTCAACATGAACCAAACTTATTCTTGGTCCTGGCTCTTTTCAAGGATTGTGAAAAAACTGAATTAAACGCAGGCCTATCTTCCCTCAATGTTACCTTTCTCCTATCTTTTCTAGCTCTTTTGACCAGTGGTTAAAATCTTTTTTCTTTGTAAATAACCTGAAGGCTTTTATTGATTCACATAGACCTTGCTTGCTTGGTTATTGTAAAAGATGACTCTAGTTCCAATCAATATTGCATGAAGTCAATGGTGTATATATCTATTTTTTAAAAAGTGTTTTGTGTCCCTCTCCTTGGACCATGTGAAGCACACATCAAAAAGGCAGGAAGGAAGTTTGGAGGAAATGATGCAATTTATTATGATTTCTCATTATCAAGAACTTATTGTGTCTGCAGGGAAAGAATACTCTAATGGGTGCTATAAAGGTTTATTTTGGTTATCTGTGATTTCTCCCTCAAGATTGTCTTAAACCTATTTGGAGAAAACCTAGACACATCTAGTTTGATCTAATTAGTTAGGAAACATCATTGCAGCTGAGTATAGAGCAAGGAAATTAAAGACAAGAATAACAACATAATACAGAGATTACAGAAACTCTTTATTGCAAATACTGTGGGTAAATAATGGTTCCTATTTAGAGATTAATTTTTCGAGCCAGTGACTACAAGATCAATTCTTTAACAATTTGTAGTTAGAATTTCTTTTAATGTATCATTTGAGTATTATCCCTTGTTTCTCAATTGAAAATGGGGTTTCTAATATTCAGAATTACTTGAACTTCAGGTCCTCATTTTGTAGGATTTCCATCATCTTTCTGAAGCTGCTGTTTCAGAGAAATAGCTAAAAGTACAGTTCTTTTTATAAAAACAAAGCTACATTTGTAGTTGCCTCATTCGTGTCATGAAGAGTCAAAATCATCCAAAAAGTACAGCCAGGTCATAAGTACTACAGGAGAACTGCACTGGGCATTCTTAACACAGGCAATGTCCAGAGCAGGAATTAATCCAATTGGAAAATAAGCGAAGTTAAAATCTTTGTAAGACTTGTTACCTTGGGAAAATGTTAAAGATGCCATAAATCACAACCAAAATTCTGGTTTACTATAAAAAATCCAGTGTCAAATTAACATAACTGCATATTTTCTATTACTATAAAGTTTTAAATTTCTAATATCACTACATCAACTTTTATTGAAAAACCAAATTTTGCTACTTATATGAGAGCATTTGTCTTATGTAAGATTTTTATTTGAATGTTATGTAAAACTATAATAGCATTTAATGTTGTTGGGAATAAAGTATTATTTGATATCATTTTGTAACTTCTGTTGCCTATTTATGAGCCAATGGTATTTTTATAAGAATATGTCAAGTATTGCTCAGAGTGTCTATTTTACTTTTCTTAAAAAACACTACATGTTTTTTAATCAAAACTTTATGGATGTTTATTTTAGAATAAACATATAGTTACTGAGTTTGTTTTATCCTCAATTTTCTGGATATACTGAATTAAAATGGAATAGTCACATCAGGATACAACCAAGGATTCCTTAATCTTAGCCATCACTTCTTGGCTAGAACCAAGGCTCTGCCTCACATTTGCCTAGGAAAACCATAGTCCGTGACTCTCCAGCTTTCTTGGAACGAAATGCACTGTATGGAGTTTCCAGAAAAAAGCACATTTAATCTTTGGATACTGTGTTTACAGGTGGGCAAGTGAAGGTTGTCCTCTCTGTCACTAATAAGCTCCCCAGTCCCCACCAAGCTCACCTGCCCTGCCTCATCTTCTCTAGGTCCTGTGAGTCAGTGCTGTGCTCAATAAGGTAAGTCCTAGAGTAGGAACACTTCATCTTCTATAGAAACACAAAACGGACTTGCTTTTCCATTATGCTTGAGTGTGTAATGAAAACTCTAGGAAGTGAGTGTAACATGAACTCATTCCTTCCCCATCAGCAGACAGATGGATAGAGACATTCCACTTTGTTTCCAGTCTTTTGTCTTTAGAGCATTTTTGGCATTTCCTTTAGGAAACTGGAGGTTGTGACCTAAGGTTTCCTTAGTGAACACACTTCTGTTTCCCACAGTTAACCTTACCCAGAAATGACATCTACTCTATTAGGTGAGGTTTATCTTCATGTCCCAACTGTGTCCTGTGCATATTCAATGACACTTGAAAGCACAAATTCTGAAAGTAATAATAGGACTGGAGAGCCAAACACACAAAAATACTTCGAATTAATCCCCAATGAAGATGACAGTAACATCAAAACAAGAATTAACTGCTACAATAGTCCTATGATGCTTGCAAAGGGCCCTTGCTCTCATTTTATTGCTGGGGAAATTAAAAACTAGGGATGTTAAAGTTTTCAGATTATGATTGGAATGTTTTCAGATAAAAGGTGTATCCTACTCAGTCTACATTCTACAATTTGCTCCTTCATCAATGCTCTGTAGACCCACATTGTTCAGAGGGTAGACTGAGAGAGGCCAAGACAAGGTAGGGTCCCCCCTAAAGTTAAAATGATTTCATATTATTTCCCATATCCCCATCATGTTGGTGGAAAGCCAAGAATGTAAGCTTTTGTTGATGGGTATGAACTGACCATTGAGTTTCCTATTTTAAATTAGATTTACAACCACAATGTTGTGTGTTATTTCTTTATAAAGGTGTTTTCAGACAGAATTATTGTACTTAATTTAGTTTGTCTTGAATGCAATTTAAAACTCAAACAATTACATTTACTTGCCAACGTGGTGATTAGAGGTTGGTGGTTTGCATCTCATTCTTTACTATGCTCTTCAGTGTTAACTTATTGAAGTTTCTCTTCCTGAAATAGATAAGAGTGGTTTCTAAACCACGTTTTTTTCACACCCTGGTTTATCAAGGTAAAATCCTTAAAAGAATAACAGAAATTTGCCCTTAACTTTATGATTCTAAAGAGCCACGTACTCAAAGTAAATGTCTTCAATTTAAATTAAAAGATGCTCTTCACAAAGGAATCTTTAAAAAAATCAGTTTATTAATGTTTAAAAGTTGATAAAGCTATGTGCAAAATGATCCACAAAAGTCAGAAACCTATTAAATACTATATATTTTTTTTAAAAAAGGACATCTCTCAGTTTAATTGCACTGAAAACCATACTAAAGAGACAGCAATATATTTTTATTCTTTGTAAGGTTTATACACATCTTCAATTAACTATTTAATTGAACAGCTGTACTAAAAAACTTCTGGTGTTTCCTATCAGTTAAAGTAATGCTTTAAGGTCACAAGAGGGTGGTATTTTCTTAAGAAATACATGTTCAACGGTGTTAACACAGGTTAGAAAAATCCAAAAATATGCTGAAACAAATACATTCAAATATCATGAAAAGTACTTTTAACACAACAAAATACAACCACCTGCTTGTTGAAAATGATTCTCACAAAAACACTCCGAAATAAACATCAACAAAAGTGCCAAAGACAGATGTATTTGTTACACAAATTCCTTATAAATCTCTCTTGGTTTACAAAGTCTGCCCTCCCCTCCCCTCCAGTCAGTTTTCACCTTGTTTTGCTTGTCTCTCCTATGACACATAAGATCCTGGCTGATACCATTTAGATAAATTGGACCTCCTTATGCAGATTTCAGCCACAATGGATATGATATTAAAATGCATTACATCGTAAAAATGTAAAAAAAAAATCAAAGTGACTATAACCAAATTCCAAAAAACTGATTTTCAGCTTAATGGAAACTTTGGCCTCAGCAAACAAAATTGCCTATGCCTCTAAACCATCTCCATCTCCTCACAGTCTACCTCCTGGACACAGCCTTCCTGCTACAAATGATCAAGAAATGGGCCATGCCACAGTCCCAGCTCTGATGAATGCCAGGTAGTTAAATATAAAGTAAAAGAACTTTGAGGAGGGGTGTGAAGAGGAAGGCAGGGTGCGATGTGTAGAACATACCTAGAGGAGCAGAAGTGCACACACTCACTTGGGTTGGAAACTGGGGTGAAAGACAGCATCTCCTCAAAGCTCCAGACAGAGACGCTTTCACCCGGGACCTTAGTCTTTAAGGAGGGGCCAGATGAACCCTTCAGGAGCCTGACAATGCTAGACCTTTGGCTCAGTGCAAAATCAAAGCTCCAGTTGGGGGAGGAAATAGATTCCAGGCGAGGACCTGATCTCCACCCTTCCCAGTGCATTGTTCACAGGAACTAGCTCTACGCAGCGCAGCAATACGCGGCACCACCAAGCTGTTCTGACTCTCCCCTCCCTCCCTCTGGCTCGCGGTAGCTCCTCCCAGGCAGCAGTAGAGGCAGAGATTTTTTTTTTTTTTGCCCCAAACACTGGGATGGTGGGTAACCATGCAAGAAAATGTCCCCACGGGTCGGCAGCTTTCAGTTTTAGGAAGAGGAGTTGACGTCTCCAGAAGACATAATAGTCCCTGGGTTGTCTCCATCATCCTTCTGGGGGTGGGAAGAGTTGTCAGATTTACTGCGGCTGAATTCCATGCCAGCGATAATGGGTCGCTTGAATTTGCCAGTGGAGTCTCCACTGGGGCACTTGCAGCAGGAAATGATCCGGATAAAGGCCCGGCGCATCTCCTTGCTGGTCAGAGTATAAATGATGGGGTTGGTGCCAGAGTTGAGCACCGCCAACACCAGGAAGTACTCCGCCCTGAAGAGGATGTCGCAGGTCTTCACCTTGCAGCCCACGTCCAGCAGGAGCAGAATGAAGAGGGGTGCCCAGCAGGCGATGAAGACGCTCAGGACGATAATCACGGTCTTGAGCAGCGCCAGCGACTTCTCAGAGCTGCGGCTGGCCTTAGACATGTTCTTGCGGAAGGTCAGTCGGCGGCTCCGAGTCCTGACCAGGGAGTAGATCCGGCAGTATAGGATGACGATGGAGAGCAGGAGCAGAGTGAAGACAGTGGTGCAGAAGAGGATATAGTGCTTGTGGTAGAGCGGCAGCACTGTGGAGCAGCTGGGCAGCGCGCTGATGCAGTTCCAGCCCATGATGGGCAGTCCGCCCAGGACGAGGGAGATGACCCAGCAGGCACTGATCAGCAGGAAGGAGCGGAAGCTGTTGCTCCCGTTGTGGAGTTTCATTTTCAGCATGGTGATGTAGCGCTCGATGGCTATGGCTAGGAGGCTGAACACGGAGGCAGACAGGGCCACAAACATGCTCCCTTCTCGCAGAAACCACTGAGCAGGGGTGAGTTTGTAGGTGGTGGCCCCAGAGAAGAGCAAGTTGGTTATGTAGGCCACTCCTGCCAACAGGTCTGAGAGGGCCAGGTTGCCAATAAAATAGTACATGGGACGGTGGAACTTCTTCGTTTTCCAAATGGTCAGCAAGACAAAGATGTTCTCTAGAATGATAAAGCAGCAGATAAGAATAAACACCACCGAGGTCAGTTTAATGCCATTCTCCTTGTCCGCGCTGATATTCAGCTTTCCCGTGTAGTTGTAATGTCGGACAATGATGTCGTAGTTGACATAGTCAGAGACGGAGCTGCGGAGGGCCTTGACCAGCGGGATGCTGGTGGACCCCATGGTGCGCGATGGATTCCCCAGGAACCCGAGAGAGGTGCTTCTCCAGACGAACGCTAGAGGGCGAGGCGGAGCTCCTTCTCTGGCTGCGGGGGTGGGTCACTGAGAGATCCCGGCTTATTGTGTAGCTTTTCCTTGGCTGAGCGCCTCGGAAACCGCAGCCTTAAACAAATGACAAAGAGGAGAGAGTCAGGGAAAAAGCCACAGCACACTGGGGTAACTCATTCTAGCTAAGGCATTGCACCAGTTTTATTATTGTTAGTTTGTTTTAAGGAAACCTGGGGAGAGACAAGGATAGGGATTTTAAAAAATCAATTCTCATTTCTCGAAAAAAAAAATTGGGGAAAAGAGGGAGAAGAAACAAAAATATACCCAAACTGAAAACTCCAACACGAAAAGACGAAAAGTCTTCCTAAGGTCACATCCACTCTAATGGAAACGGGAAAACTGAAGAAGCGAGGGCCAATCTAACTTCACCCCGCCCGGCCGCCCCTACTCCAGCCAGGCTGTCAGCCCGGAGAGTATCTGAAGCGCTCACCGGCTCAGCTGAGGGCTCACCACCAGCTCCTGGCCTCTCCTCCAAAGAGACCAAACAGTTAGTAGGAGGGCGGAGACGCACACCTCTGCCCACAACCACCACCCAGCTAAAAGAGAAGAGAACCACCTAATTGCCATGCAAGAAATTAGATTTACACGAAAATCATTTGACAGCGTAAGTCATTCTTTGAGCTCTATTAATAACTCTCTAAGAGCAGGTGTGCCTTAGGGTCCGAGGGCGCCGCGTGGTGTGGGTAGCCAAGCCCGCCCTGGTCTTGCGGTAAACAGGAAAGCTTAACGCCTCTGTGAAACAACTGCCTTTCTTTCTTCTTCTTTTTTATTTTCTTCTTGCAAGTTAGTGCAAGCATATATAAGGTACTCAGTGAAAATCATAAGAGATTGCAACAAATCCCAGAAGTTTCATGCATTCATTGGTTGCCTAATATTTTTATTTTCTGTGGGTTAGCCAAACACACACACACACACACAAGAGAGAGAGACGTTACCCTACTAATGATAACAACGCATACTACTACATTCCTGATTTCTAATGCAAAACTACTCTCTAGAAACTGAAACGGACGTCTGGTGCATTGTTAAACCAAAGACGGCAGTTTTATTTACTGCCCTCCCCCAACACGTTGCCTCCTCTCATAAAACTAGAAAGTGTGGAGGGAACGAAACAAGGCACTGGTTAGCAGAAGCCTACTCCTAAATTGTTCAAATGTTTCAGAGCAATGAGATAAAAGTGGAGTAACGAGGGCGAGAGCAATCCCAGCAATTCCCGGGACAGCAGAGGCTGCCCGCGCCATAAACTCCGCATTTCCCTCATCTAATTCCACACCCTGCTCGCCAACAGTGTAAATTTAAGCTCTCACCCCCACCTCCCATACTCTTTGTCTATAGGATTTCCAAAAATAAGTGACTTCCCTCCCTTTCCTTGATCAACCGCAGCTTGCACTGTCCTCCACCCCCAGTCAGCTCTACAATTGGACTTAACCCTTTGCCAAACTTCATAAATCACAAGTGTCCCAAGAACAACCGATCCGGCTGGGCTCCTAAAGCCCAGAGAGGCATGTTTTCTGCGCCCAAAGACGGATGTTTTAAAAGTTTTTGTTTTGCTTAATTCGGATTTAAAAATTCGTTTGACCCTGAAGACCTCCCGCAGCGGGGGTCCCCTTTGCCCGCTCCCGCGCTGGCACCACTCGCGGTCCCCTACCTCGCTCAGGCTGGACGAAGTTGCTTTCGGAGGGCTCCGGGTCGGCACAGCACGCTCGGCATCTTGCTGCTGCCCTCGAAAGACTGCGTCGTGCTCTGAACTTACTCCGGTCGGGGTCCCCTCCCTCCGCAGCCGCGCACTCCAATGGCCAGCCCCGCTCCCGCGGCCAGCGCCGGCCCGCTTGCTGAAGTCGCCGAGCGCCCCGCTGAGGCTGGGTGGCTTCTGTAGGAAGAGACGGGGAGGGGTTAATGCCTCAACCCCCCACGCCCTCCGCCAGCGGCTGGGGCCTCCGGATCTCGGTGGCTGAGACTCACTGTCCAGGAAAAGATGTGGGGTAGAAGAAAAAAAGAAGAAGAACCCCTCCTCCCCGACAGGCAAGCGGGGAAAAAAATAGAAGGAAGGGGAACGGAGGTTGGTGCCCCCTGGATTGTGCAAATCACGGCCCTGTCCGCCCCTCCCGCGCAGTGGAGACCAATCTCCAGAGCCTGAGAACTGGGAGGGGGTGGAGGTGGAAAGCTTTCGGAAACTTCTTTTCGGAAGGGTCTCTAAGTACACAGGACAGCTCGGCGTCTCGTAGCGCACCTCTCTGGTCCCCTACCCCACAGCCCTTGGGGGAGTCGGCAATCAGAGTCCCGAGATTGCAGCCAGGCGCCCCGGGGCCGCTTCTGAGCAGACAGGGGGCAACGGAGCTGCGACCGGCGACTCCCGGCCGCGCTTTGGGGAGGAGCGGCTGGGAAGGGGCTGCGCGAGGGAAGGAGGCGAGCCTCCGCACGAGCGAGGACAGCCAGGAAGGTTCCCCCACTGCCCTCCACCCCCACCCCCACCCCCCACCACCATCCCGCTGCTGCCTTTAAACTCGCGGTCAGAGGGGCAGAAAGTGGCTTTACCCAGGGCTCGCAGTGAAATGGACCGCTGCCGGGCGAGGCGTGCCCCGGGGCTTCCCCTTACTGAACTGGGCGCACAGTCGGGCTGTGTGTCCCAGATTCTGGCCCGGCAGCGAGGCCTTTGAGGAGGTGGGCAGTTGCCGGGGCCTGAAAACTTTCAAAAGCTTGGGCAGCTCAGGGATTTCCAAAGGGGAGGAGTCTCTGGGCCAAGTCCAGTTGGGGGCTGCGTGCTTGCTTTTCTCCTTTCCAACCTGGGAGTCAACTCAGACGCCCCTAAACCTCAGTGCTCGAAGTTCGCCCACTCTTACCTCTCGCTGAGAAGCTACTTCAGAACTGACACTGAGAGGCGGCCGTGGTCAGCTCCGCCTAAATGACAAGACCAGGGCACTCTGCCCTACCCCACTGCTGCGAAGGCAGTTTCCACCCAGTCCCTGATCACACCGGCTGGCTTCCCATCCCAGCAGATGTGAACGCAAAACTTCTCCGCTGTGCAGTTTCAATTGATAGACACACCCTGTACCTGAATGACTCAGAAGGAGGCCGAATGAATAAACAACAGACCCCTGGCGATCTTATGAGTTTGCAAAAGAAAAAAATCAAAAGACAGTTAAAACTTTAATCAACAGCGCTGCACTCAGCACAAACCCACAAATTCAACAACGGTATGTGCATAACCTAGAAATTAAGATAACAGTCTTCTAGACTCTAGAATATAGCCCGATTGGGCGTGAGGACTTACTTCATTTAAAAGGGGAGATACGTTGAGTCCAGCCTGCACCACACTGTGGGGACTCCACAAACTCCACGCCATCCACTAATTTATAAGTCCTTTAAAGAGCAAACTATTAAAGTAAATTGCACGCCCAAAATATATCAGCAATGTGATAGATTACCTAATTTAACACTACTGCTTTGTGAAACAAGCATTGTTGGTCATTTTATTGATCAGGGAAGAGTCACTCACACAGCTTAAATCACTAGATATCGCAGCTAGTGAGTGGCAGAGTTTGGTTCTAAAACCTAAATACAAAAATGCCGAGTCTCCCAACTCAAACACCTTCAGTCAGTGAACAGTTATGGAATTGAAATGTATGTTCCTGAAGGGAAGCAACCATCTAGCTTTAAAGTTGTAAAGTGCTAATTTTCTGACTATATATCTACAAAATGTATATAAAAGTATACTAATGAAGCATTTTCTTTTTTGTGAAATATGTCATTACTTCTTTTTATTTTTTTTTACCAACTTTTTAATTATTAAGACTTTATTTTTCTTGAAGCAGTTTTGGGTTCACAGCAAAATTGAGCAGAAGATACAGAGCTTTCCCATATCCCACACGTCATCCCACACACATGTACAGTCTCCCCCACTATCAACATCCCCCACCAGGGTGTTATGGTTGTTACAGCTGGTGAACTTATATCGACATCACCCAAAGTCCATAGTTTACCTTTGGGTTCATTCTCGACGGTTTGGACAAATGTATAATGACATGTATCCATAATTATAATATCATGCAGAATATTTTCACTGATCTAAAAATCCTCTGTGCTCTATTTACCTTTCCTGTTCTCCAAGAATATCTTTTTTTAAAACCACTGATTTCCTGACTATACATGTATACAAAGCATATACAAAGGTATACTAATGAATATATTTAGAAACCTCTCATTATCTCCCATATCTAATGTAAGGTTGTACTTTTAAAATATGCATAGTAGAGTCTAAGTGTTTTACATATCAACTCATTTAATCCTTACAATGACCCTACAAGTTAAGTGCTACTATTCTACTTTTACAAACAAGGAAACTGAGTCCCAGACATATTAAGCAACTTGGTTAACATGGGTTATGACCATAGACAGTCTTCAGACTCTTAACCACTACTCCAAACCACACAATAAACCTCAAATCTGTCAAAGAATTACGTAGAAGTCCGTCCTTCTCTTGTGAAGACTGTTGGTGAGGACACTATCAATACCGATCCAGTGTTTTAAAGAGCTCAAATACTCTGCAGATGATCGTTTAGTAATAGTGATCCTTAGCACACACCTATGAGATATTAAATGCAGATGGCCACTCAGGCAGAATTAGAAAGTTGGCAAACATATTTGCAGCAGTGGTTTCCCGGCCAATTCTGAATCTTTGGTTCCCACACATGTCTCTTCCCATTACTCTCAGGAGAGACCCAAAGAATTGCATCCTCAAGCTATCTCCTGGCTGTTAGCCCAGTTCCCTTTCCGCTGCTGCCTAGAAGGCAAGCCCAGTGTTTCTACTTAACTTCGCATCCCAGTGAGGTTACCATCAGATGGCCAATTCACATTGAGATCTATCCATTCCACATTTCTTATTTCAAAGCAACTTTGCTATTCTTCATGCAGGCTTTAGTATCTCTCTTTAAAGGTTTCCAGAGAAAATGCCATCTGATATTTGGGACTTAAACTAAAAAATTAGTTATTGTTAAAATGCGATTCAAATTTAAATGGATGAGCTGTATTTTTGTTTGTGAAATCTGGCAACCCTACTCTCTTTCCAAAATGCCTCAGTCACTTTCCAGCTCCCTTTCCTCCTCCAACTCCTGTAAAGATCCAACCCTCCCCATACTCATTTATTCATAGAAGAATAACTAACCTCCTATTTCATGGAGAAAACAGTATCACCACTTCAGTTTCTCTCCTCTCTAAGTTCTAGCTTACTAACCACTTCACCCACCCATATGTACCTCCTTCCCAAGGCAAACTCTTGCCCCTATCACCCTGCTGCTCCTTCCAAACTTTCTAAGACTTGGGTCAATTTTTCTTTTTCTCCCTTGTACTTTCACTTCTTGATCTCTGATGACCTTTTACCTTCAACTTACATTATTATTTATGGGGTTCCTCTACCAAAAACTCACTGTCTTCCTCACATGCTAGGTCCCAAAATAAATCTCTCTTCTCTTGTTTGCCAATGTTCAAAACTATGTAGTGGAACATGACAGAGGTGGGTTCAGCCTTAATACTTTCACTACTGAGCTGTGTGACTTTGGCCAAATTCCTTTAACTTCTTTTAGCCTCAGTGTCCTCATCTCTAAAACAGTATAATGATATTTCTCTCTTTCGGTTATTGCCAGGATTCAGAACTTCATTTGTACAAAGAGCCCCCCTACAGTACCAAGTAAATGCTTCACCTTCCTACTACCTGTCTCTAACTCTATGATATTCATTGCTTTCATTATCTAACTTTTCATCTCTCCATGCACTTTCCTTTTTTGATTGTCAAATACAATTATTTTTTAATCCAGTTAATACATGCCCATCATTTAAAATTAACAAGTAGTGCAAAGCTTGCTAGGAAGAACATCAGTCATGTAGGCTCTGTGGTCCTCTAATCCACCCAACCACTTTGAAGTCTTACTGGTATTTCTTCTGGGGGCTACTGTTTTGTACCCCTGTTTTTTGATTATCAATTTTAGCCAATATCTACAGATTTTTTACCATATTGAAGGAATATTAATCCACTTACTCTTAAAAAATGCTTGTTATACATTTTCTAGGACCTTGAATGTCTAATATTTTTGAAATTCTGTTTTTACACTTGACTAATATTTTGGCTGGATATAGAGTTATGGCTGTAAGCAATTTTCTCTGGGAATTTTAAATTTGTCTCCCTTATCTCAATTTCTAATGCTACTGATAAAGAGTTTAAAGCTTTTCTGACTCTAAAACTTCACACATGACTACTTTTTTTCTTCTCTGGGTATTTTTAGAATTTTCTTCTTCTCCACAGTGGTCCAGAATTATGATGAATCTTGAGTTTTCCATGCTTTCTTCTTTCTCCTGAACATACAACTGGTCCTTTACAGCTGGGCAATTATCTGAAATAATTCATTGGATAACTTCATCTTCTCTGTTTTCTCTATTTCTTTTTCTGGAGCTCCCACTACTTTACTTATGGACCATTTGGAAAGTTTTTAATGATTTCCTTGTATTTATTTTCTATTTTATATACCTTCATCTTTTTTCTAATTTCTGGAGATTTCTCATTGTTATTTTTCAACTCTTCAATTACAATTTCCCTTTGTTATCATATTTCTAATAATAAATACTCTTTTTCTTCTCTGAATTTTTCATTTTTACAGAACCCTGCCCTGTTTCAATGATATCCCATATCTTCCCTGAGCTCCAAGAACATCAGAATGCCATTGCTATTGCCCACATTATCTCCTGTTTTCTTTCTTGTCTCATTTTCCTGTTTGTTCTGATCTCCATACTTGGTGT